GCCATCTCTACCCTATAATACAGAATCCACTTTCATTAATCTAAAACATAACGTACCTGAGGTCTCTAGGTAAACACATTTTTTTTCTCTGATTACCCATTTTCTTTGCTTCCTACTAACTCCCTCTCCCCTTCTCTTAACATATTAGAGTTCCTCTCTGATTGTAGTATTTCTAGGTCTACTCAGCCATACCCGTGCAGACCCTCTCTTGGGTAGTTTCTACCAGTGATTCAAATGATTACTGATGGCAGTGAGTGGGGAGCCATTCACTGAGAGAGAGAAGAGGAAGGTTTGAAGGGAAGGATAAGAGTGTCTGTTGCATATCTAGCTGGAAGCATCCAGCAGCCAGTTGGATGTGGGTGTCCAGAACTCTAGGGAAGGTTATGGGCTGTAGATAAGCAGCTTATAATTATTATCATTAGCTTATACTTGGCAGTCAAATCTATGGGGATAGGGAAGAAGCACCAGTGAGAGTATGGAGAGTGAAGAGAGGACTAAGAACAGGCACGTGAGATCATCAACATTTAAGGAGTGGTCAGAGAAAAGTGCCAAGAGACCAGAGATTGGGAAAGAACAGAGTTTCAAGAAGGAGAGATGGTCAGCGGTGTTACAGTCAACGGAGTGGTCAAAGAAAATGAAATCTGAAAAGAGCTCTGGATGTGGCCATGGTGGGACGTCCCTGACAACCTTTGTCTGGGCATTTTCAGTAGAGAGGTGGGGATGGAAGAGTGGAAGTGGAGACAGTAATCACAATTTAAGGGAAAGAGAAACTAAAAGTAGTAACAAGGGGGAATGCATTTGAAATAACCACTGTGAGTAAGGGCGAGGGCAGTGAGCATGATCTGTGAATACCAACAAGCACTCAGGTCAAGTGAAGTGAGATTGGAGACTACAAATTTGTAATGTCACCAGTTTGAACAATCAAATAACTTCCTCCAAGGGTGCTCAAGCATTCAGTTATATGAACAGTTAATCAAAAGTAGAATGTTCTCAGGATGAGAACAGACAGACAGACAAAGAGGCAAGTTTATTGAAGTTGATTAAAAGATATATTATTGCTACACTGTCCACAGCTATAGCCAGTAGCCACATGTGGCTATTTAAATTTAAATTAATTAAGGTTATATAAAATCTAAAATTCATTTCCTAACACTAGCTACATTTCAAGTGCTCAATAGCCAGAGAGGTCTATTGGAAAGTGCTGCAATATACGGTCTAGACTTGATGAAGTAGGGGAGTGAGAAAGAGTGAAACCTGGAGGAGTAGGAGGTTGCGGTCGAGATAGGTACGTTGGGGTTTAAGATTCTAGGAGAAAAGCTGTTCTTGGTGATAAGGTTCAGAATTATGTCATGGGAACTGGGTTGCTGAAATAACATGTGGGTGAAGATTGTTGGAGTTCAAAAGGTCACAGAATTTTGAAGACAGGTTGTCAGTGGATGCATGCATAATGAAGTCATCTAAATTGATGGCAAGAATTAGTTGGAAAGAAAGACCTTGCATCAATATCCTCAGTGAACAAGGGAGTAGTGACCAATGATTAAGAGCTAACAGAAATAAGAGAGGGGGACACCTCCAAAGAGAGAGGGTGTTGCTCAAGAGTCCCATGAAGTTGATAAAACAAGCAGCAGCTGGAGGGCAAATGGCTTCCTTTGGGCAAGGACAGATTTCAATTAAAGCACATCCTTGGTGGAAACATCTGATGAAGAGAATGAGGACATACAAGAGTTTATTGCAATGGAATAAGGCTTTGAGAGGGCCTAATAAAGCTCTGGAGGAAGTTTAGTAAAACAAGGAAAATTCATGGGCAACAACAGTAACACGAGGAGAAGACAATCACTGAATATGTAAGACATACATTTGGGATAGTGCCAAGGAGGGCTGAAGTCCCAGGTGGAGTCAGAAACCTCCCAAGTTTAGCAGACTATAGTCTTTGTGTGGCGTTCGAACAGTGTATTGCTGGGGAAGTTCTCAAGTATCTTTGAAACAAATTCTTCCAGCTGATTAGGGTGGTGTCTAGCTCTGACATCATTGCAGCATCCCGTCGTAATGAGACCCAGGCCATTTATCTTACCAAATGCTGGGGAAGGGGGAGAGTCTCAGTGCTTACCCACAAGTGGTCTAGGGTTATAATAGGAGAGACCCAAAACCACTCAGGGAGAACAGACTTTGAGCTATATCTTCTCCCATATGACAGAGAGGGGATTAGCAGGATCCCCTATGCCTAGCTCTGAGCGACGTCATGGAAACAAGTGGGGAGCTGCAGAGTGTAAATTGTGAAACACTTTCAGTTCCACTGAGAATGGCTGAGGGGGCTTGGAAGGCATAAACCGGTTGCCATCAAATCAACTTCAACTCATGGTGACCCCATGTGTGTAGAGTAGAACTGTGCTCCATAGAGTTTTCAGTGGCTGATTTTCGGAAGTAGATCATCAGGCCTTTGTTCCAAGGTGTCTCTGGGTGGACTCGAACCTCCAACCTTTTGGTTAGCAGCTGAGCATGGAAAGAAACAAATGTTTTCTGCTCTGCCCCACTTTGGAGACAGCGGCAGAGATCCTCTATAGCAACACTTCTCCAACTTGAATGTGCACCTGAAGCTCTTGTTAAAATGCAGATTCTGATGCAGCAGGTCTAGGGTGGGACCAGAGAGTCTGCCTTTCTAACTAGCGCCCAGGTGACGCTAATGCTGTTAGTCCACAGGCCAATCCTTCAGTGGATAGGTGAGGAGGGGTCAGTTATACGAGTGGCAGAGAAAGCCCTTGCAATCTTTGTGAGAAGGAGCCTGGGTTAGAGAGGTTGGAGAGGTCTGTTAATGGAGAGACCGAGTGGGAAGGAGAGAAAGTGCCCTGAGGCTCTGCAGAGAAAAACAACCATAAATGAAGAAGCCAAAGGTGAAGTCATTTCCAAGTTTAAGAGGCAGAATTAACTGTCAACTGGCAGAATTTTCAACTGTGTGTTTGGTTTCTCCATTAGGTCATTTGCCCTATATCGTATGACAAATAGTGATACAACCAGAGTGAATTTCTGAAATGAAAGTTGCCAGAAGATTTTATAGTATGTTACTCCTACATTCTCACTAAGAGCTTAGCATAACAGTAGTAGGAGCCCCAGGTTGGCCTTGAAGATTATACTAGAAACAGGTGAATCTTTGTTAGGTCCCCCTTTCACTGCTCCCTGTACCCAGGTAGATTTTCTCTCCTCCCTCCAAATAGTAACTCATACTGTACAGATGCTGCATTTTATACTTTCAAGTGCTTCACAGGGTTCTAACCTGTTGCCGTTGAGTCAATTCCGACTCATAGCGACCTTATAGGACAGAGTAGAACTGCCCCATAGGGTTTCCAAGGCTGTAATCTTTACAGAAAGAGACTGCTACATCTTTCTCTTGAGGAGTGGCTGGTGGATTTGAACCACTGACCTTTCCATTAGCAGCCGAGCTCTGTAACCACTGTGCCACCAGTGTTGCCCACAGGGTTCTAGTGAGTGTAATACAATAGACAGAGACTCAAACTTATGCCAACTCTCACTGATGCCTGGAGTCCTCTTTCTTTAGAGTTCAAGATCACCAACAACCCCCTTGATTTTGTGTTCCCACTGGGCCAGTATGCTCGCAGTCCAATTTTGCCAGGTGTATGTCACTGTCATTTATATTTCTACTCACTCTCAGAAGAGAAACCTATTGATCAGATCATTTTAAATTTCTCCCACCTCCCGAAGAACACCTCAAGTGAAACTCCGCTCAATTATTTCACCAACCCACCCTCCTTTCTTCCTTAATGTCAGGATCCCTTCACTGAAACCTCAAATGATGAAGCTTTCCCCACGATGGCATCTAACTCCATATGAATTAAGAAACAGCATTCTCCCCCTACCCCACCCCACACTTTTCACCCATCACTATTTCTTGTCCAAGTCTCAAGTAATTCTGTGACATAGAAAAGACCTACCCAAACCCTGTAATCACCTTTAAAGAGTTTGGTGGCCCAAATCCCTCACACAATCCCTCACACAAACCTCAATATGCCCTCAGGGACCAAACTTTTTTTCTGAGCTCTTCCAGTATGTTCCCTGTAAGCTGTAAAAATTTCCAGGGGTAGGGCATACTGTGAAAGGCAAGTTTGCACTGGGGTTTTCCCAGCACTCCCAAAGCACATCCTCACCTCCCCATCTATGTTTCATTTCCAGCATTTCATTCACGAGCCTTAAATGTTCTCCGGCCATCACAGTCCAAAACAGCCATTGTATTTCCCCAGTTCTCTTTCTGTTTCCTAAAAGAGATAGAGCTTAGAGAGGCTGCTGAGAATAAAGGCCTTAGTCGACTATTTGAGCCATTTCCAAATCTTTCTACATCCTTGGGAGATCCGGCCATGGGATTAGTAGCCACGGGGAAAGCTCCATAAAGGGAACTACTAGAATTTCAAAGAAGTAACTCAAAGTGAACCCCAACTAATGAGGCATAATGAAAAGGGGGAACAAATGTATTACCATTATCAATAATCTCTTCCCCATAGCCAGGCCAAGGAATAAGACAGCAAGGGAAGGGTGGGCTTTTGGTGATGGTGGCAGAAGTAATGGTGTCTATAAGAGCTACAGTGATGAGAATCAATATCGAGGTTATAGGAAGGTAACAGGTGGGTAAATGAGTTGTCTGACTCTGCCTGTTTTTCCTGTCCTGGAATTTAAGTTCACAGAAATACATGCAGGAAAGGCCCTTAGAACATTTGGTCCACGTATTCATTAAACAGGTGAGGAAACTGAGGCTTGGAGAGATTGCAGTTTGCACAAGGCCACACATTTAGTTAGCAGTGGAGCCAGGACAAACATCCTGATCTCCAGATGTCCAGCATATATGCACAGTTCCAGAGATTAATATCTAGTTTTTTAGGACCGTTACTGATAAGATAGCGTCTGGGTACTGTATTTAAAAAAAAAAAAAAAAACTGATTTTTTTTTTTTCTTCTCTCTGTTTTCTCCTTTCCAAATCCCCACCTTTCCCTTTTTAGGTGCTGTTGCTGCTGTAAAGACTCAGGCTTATTTCAATGAGACTGCATATTTGCCATGTCAATTCATAAACTCTCAAAACCGAAGCTTGGATGAGCTGGTAGTATTTTGGCAGAACCAGGAAAAGTTGGTTGTGTATGAGCTATACCAAGGCAAAGAGAAATACGATAATGTAGATTCCAAGTATAAGAGTCGCCACATCAGCTTTGATGAGGAAAATTGGACGCTGCAGCTCCACAACGTTGAGATCAAGGACCAGGGCGATTATCAATGTTTCATCCATCACAAAAGTCATAAAGGACTTGTTCCGATCCACAAGATGAGTTCTGAACTGTCAGTGATTGGTAAGTGGTTAATGATATGTTCAGATCCCCGATCTTCTCAGACGAGAGTGCATAAGAGTAGAGAAATATTGGAAGGGACCTGTAGAGAGAAGGCAGAAAACAATCATTTCTGGGAAGTCCGTTTGAAGACAGTTTAAGGTCTGGGACTAGGGAACTGAAAGTCCTTTGTACTTTTTATAGTTTGCTTCTGAAGGATCAGTAATAATCTGCTCTGGAGACAAAATAGAGTCAATTGAACAAAGATAATGTGACTAAGTGAAAACCACAGGTCACTTGGCCGTTACTAAGTTTATATAACCATATAGTCCTCAAATCTCTTTTATATCTATTTTCTCCTTTGGTCTGAGATTTTTTACCCACAACACCTTTTCCTGGAGCCCCTAGCAAGAATAGCAGTTGACTGATTTGTGTTTTCCCTCCAGTCTCCCGTAGGTTGCTTATGAGTTGTTTGCGGCCCTAACCATGAACCCAGTAGGTAGAAGGGAAATAACCCAGCAAATAATCCACAAACTGACAAACCTGTCTCCTCTGCTTCACTAGGCCTTGAAAAGCCAAAGCGTCACTACAGATTTTTTAAATTATCGTACAGTAAAAATTGACTTTTTTTTCTTTCGGTTTACAGCTCTATGAATTTTAACGCATGTATATATTCGTGTAACCAACACCATAATCAAGACACAGAACACTTCTGTCACCCTAAAAAAACTCCCTCATGCTATCTCTTTATAGTCCCACCTTCTCTGTACCTATAACCCCTCTTTTTCATCCTATAGGTTTGTCTTTTTGAAAATGCCACCTACATGGAGTCATACAGTACGTAACCTTTTAAGACTGGCTCCTTTTATTCAACATAATGCCATTGAGAGTCATCCAAGTTGTTGCATGTATCAAAAGTTTGTTCTATTCTATTGTTTATCCACTCATTATTATTGAAGGACATTTGGGTTGTTTCCAGTTTTTCCAGTTTTCTATGAATAAAGCTGCTATAAACATTTGTGTACAGGTTTATGTGGGAACGTAAGCTTCCATTTCTCTAGGTATCAGATTCCAGATTGCTTTTTGATAAGACTGGAAAAGGCAGATCAACATCTATTCTGAAACCATAGAGTAAAACAGAGGCAAAAGCAGAAATAGAATGGGGAGTTGCTCCCTTTGAGCCCTGTGTGATTCAAACTAGGCTACGGGGTTTTGGGAATATTTAACTAAGTTGTCAGTATTTTCGAAGTTGTGGTCAGGTGCCATTGATGGAACATGGTATGTTTTGGGTGGGATGCAGACAAACTTTTATTTTTTTATAAAAACAGTTTTTTGTTTATTTTAATGTGTACTAGAAAAACTATAACTCATCCAACATGTGACTTCACAGATACTATTGCTTAGGGTAAGGCTAAAGTAGGTAATACCATGGCAATTTACCTTCTACACACCACATAAAGTATGAAGCTAAGAGAAGCATTGTGTTTAACAGGCTCATCTATTTTTCCTAAAAATGGTTGGATTTGACCTTCACCTTATAGTACATGATGAAGACACCTTGATAGTCAGAACCAGTGTTCTGAATTTCTAAATCCAAAATCCCATCCACTCATTGACCACCATCCTGCTTGGGTTTCTGGAAGACATGGCCCAGAGCATACCAACCCCATGGGCTCTGTTAATTTCCGGTGGGACTTTAGCCTCAGTCCCTTTCTGCTCTTAGTCTGGAATATACTCCATGGGACACTTGGGTCTTGAATCAGACCACTTCTCCTTCCAAAGACTCCACTCCCTGGAATAGTGGGCCCATTATGTATCTTTGGTAACTCAATTTCAGTCCTTCAGTCTTTCAGAGGGCACTCTCTTGGTTTGGGTAAGCAGGAAGTGAGCATGGCCCCAAACTCCATTCGTGAAAAGTAAATGTGGGGGTCAGGATGTGGGTCTCTTCATGAGTTGAGGCCCACATTTTAGGACAGCCTGCGGTTCCCAGGTATGTCCCCAAAGAGTTGCCAGATCAGGTACCTAGTTATTTGTCGTTCTAGATACATCCCAATTTAGACTGATTTTCTCTCTCTCCTGCTTTCAGCTAACTTCAGTCAACCAGAAATACTGGAAGATTCTAATACATCAAGCAAGTCCTACAGAAACTTGACTTGCTACTCTGTACAAGGTTACCCACACCCTGAGGAGATGTATTTTTTGCTAAGAACTGAGAATTCGACTACCAAGTATTCTCCTACCATGCAGAAATCTCAAGACAACATCACAGAACTTTACAAAGTTTCCATCAGCTGGTCTTACTCAGGCTTTCATGATCCCTCCAATAGGAGCATCACCTGTGTCCTCTGTGTCCTGGGGATGTGTCTTTTCTCCAAACCTTACAATATAGGTAAGGCTGCTTTCCAAGATCATTTATTACAACAGGTGTTACACACAAATGATTAAGGCAGATCCTCCACAATGTCCCTTGCTTGCCAGGAAGCCTTCAATTTGGCCATTTTATGTTATTAGGAAGGACCCAGATGGAGGGCTCCTGCTTCTTGAACTGAGTGATGCAGGGTCCAAGAGGCTATGAGCCTATACTACACTCTAGGAAGCATGGTCTTAGCCCAGAAACTGGCCCAGTCTTTTGGGCTACCTTTGGATGGAAGATTCTGAAGTTTAGGTCATAAAATCTAGACTTCTTCCAGGCTCTAATTCTTACATTCATTAAAATAACACACACATATCATACATGCATGCACACATACATACATATGGCAGTTATAATGAGTACAGAACCATTTTAAACATTGTTGGTTGTGGGGGCGAAAACTAAAAGGTCTAAGACATGCTGTCTTGTCTGCCCTTGAAGATCTTCCAGTAGAATCAGAAAGCCATGATGTGTACATATGGAAAACTGGATTTTAAAAGTTTAAATTAGAATCTAAATTGTATCCCATGGATATATGTAACTAAATTTAAAACAAGAAGGACTGATAATCAGGCTTCTAGGTATACAGAGGCAGGCAAGATCCTTGAGAATCAGGGAAGGTTTTCCCAAAGGAAGTGAGACCTTATACCCCATAAGATCATAAGAGAAATAAGTGGATTTACTAAGTTTGGTGAGGAGAGGGGAAGGCGTTTTAGATGACAGAATACTGAAACTGGCAGTGACTTCCTGAACAGAAGAATTCGGAGACAGTGTCTAGGCTCAGAGGGTGTTAGGGCCACTGTCGACTAGCTGTATCTGACATGGGCACAGGAGGTGGTGGAGGGCATCAGCATACACCTGGCAAGGGAAGGCTCAGAGGCAGACAATGCAATGCAGGATAAGTCCAGCAGGAGGAAAGGGTAATAGGAGCCTGCCATTTTAAAGTCCCAGCTTTGCCCTGGAGGGAAAATGTCCACAGTCGCAACCCCACTTTTGAGAAGCAGTAACTTCAAGATTTTCTCCTGGAACACAGGCACTCTGAATCCACCCTGTCCTAATCACTGGGTGCTCTCACCCTGACCCTTCCTCCCACCCATCTGCCCTTCTGCTGGCTTTGTCCTCTCCTCTAGCTCTTGGTTTGCCCCACTCTTGGCATCCATCCAACCCCTTGCTCTGTCCACTGGCTTTGCTTGCCTCCTCTCTCCTCATGTCTTGTTGTTCACACGTAACTCAGCCTATGGACACACATGAATGGGAATCCCCTGGGGCCATTCCCCACCAGCAGCTCTTCACCTGGGCCAATCTCCTCCCCTAGTACTGATTTCCTTTCTCTCCCAGAGACCTCAGCCTCTGAGAGTTCAGTCAATTGTAAAGCCACCCAGCCTGTCCTAGTTGCTTTTACTGTAGCCTCTCTTGACCTGAAAGAAGACTCTCCCAAGCTGTCCCTGAAGTTCAGCACCTTCTTGGGGCCACCAACATCACCACACATGACATCATGTCCTGCAGCCCTCTGCCACAGCTCCCATAGTCTACAAATGAATAGGGGCTTGTCACCACTGTAGCTTCATCATGGATCACCATTCTTCTGCTTCTCAACTACTTCCCAAACCTCCCCAGCTACATCATTTTCAGAAATGTTTCAGTTCCGGTTCCCTCAGGAACATAAGACTTGCCTCTCTGTGCCCCGATATTATTGGGTTGATGAGGGTATACTCTGAGTCAGGGCACATTTTTGAATGTTCAAAGGTAGCAGTATAACGAGTATTAACCAGTATATCCCCCTTTCCTAGAAATTTCAAGTGGGATTAAGTGGGATAAACTGGAACAGACTCAAAAGGTGTTGCGTATGCCATACAAGGCCAACAACTCCTTTTCTTAATGCCTCAGGGACAGGCATGCATCCACAAACTGCAGCCAAGCTAATGGGAGGTCAGCTGGACGTATTTTCCTGTAATTTGGGGTTAACTACCAGAACTATTCTCATAAACAGCTGTAAAATGGGGTACTCTGTTCTAAGTTGTTCTCCAAGGGCTGTTCTTCAGCTTCTTAGACGCTTAGGAGTCTTAGGAAAATTAGAAGTAAGTCCTGAGAGATAGGGAGAATTTTGAGGCTTCTGACCCTGTTTCCTCAGGGCATAAGGAGATACCAAAGGTTTTCTAGTAACGTGAGACATGCTAAAAGCCCACTGTGACATCACTGAGAAAAAACAAAACAAAACTGGAATTAGAGGGGTCTGTTAAGAGGCTGTTACATTTGTCCAAGTGAGAGGTGTCTGCGGCCTGACCTGAGATAATGGTGAGCAGAAGAGTCATTACCAGGAAAATGTCAAGATGTGGGGACTGACTCCATATGGATCTGGGGAAGCAGGGTATTGCACAGATGACTGTATATTCAGAGCCTCAGCATAGATATCTTACCCCGATTCCAGAACCAAGGACCTGGCTTGACCTCCTTCTTCTAGATCACTGTCAGTATCATTCCAGCATCAGGGAAGAGAAAGCCACTCAGCCCAGGAATTTGGCCAGAAGCACTGGCTGAGTTTTGGTTAGCTGCTGAAGTCCTGAGACTGGGACCTTCTATGGCCTCATACTGTGGATTTCAGGCTCCTCTGGCCTTAGAGTCCTGGGGAGACTCAGGCGGGTAAATAAGGAGAACAGCAGCAGCAAAGACAAAACTTTTACAAAAGATCGTACTGGATGATTGAAAATTAGTGGTCTTTTCTACCTCCAGTGCCACCTAAGACACACCTACCTCCGAAAGACAACATGCTATGGATTGCTGCCCCTTCGCTGGTCATTGTTGGCGTGATGGTATTCTTTCTAGCACAGTGGAAGAGGAAGAAGAAGCAGCCTGACCTCTCTCGTGAACGTCATGAAAGTGGTGAGTCAGTCTTTGTCTTCTCCGCAGACTGCCACTTTGCGACTTCTTCCCCACCAACTGCCTTCTGGAGCCCATTGGCTAGCACATGGGGAACCCAGACAGGCAAAAACTCAGCTAGTTAGTGGGGGAAAAGGTCTTCCCCCAGGGTTGAGAGCCCATACAGATTGGACTCAGCTGATAATGTTGCTCTGGGTTTCTAGGAAAGGCAACATTTCTATCCCAAGGTTTGCAAATGTAGTCCTGTTCCCAGACAAAGCTGATTATTACTTGCTTTACCTATTGCATGATGTTACTGTGAGAATTATATGAAGTAAAATGGTGGAAACATTTCTTCTAAATGTTAAAACCACACATATGTAAGATTTTGGACCTGGTGGTGTTCAAGCAGAGATGTGTGGTGAGAGGGAGGGGAGGATTAGAAAAACACAAAACTCACCCTGCCATCTCTAAGAGTCTACATTTCCTGTGAAATAAGTTAGATGCGTTGTTCCCCAGTGATTTTTAAAAAATAATATTAACTTTTACTGATTACAAAGTAATACACATTCATTCCTGAATATGCAGAAAATAAAAGTCACCTATAGTTCCACCAGTGAGAAAAATTATTGTGCAGACAATATTTTGATGTATATCTTCTAGACTTTTCCATGAATATATCTATGTTATTTTCCATAATTGGAATTCCAAAGACCAGGTTGTTATGCAAAAATCAGAGGATGACCACATCAGATCACAAAATGTAGGATGACTACATCATTCCATAACTGCCAAATTATATCCTCGCATAACTGCCAAACCACTGAGAATCACGGCCCAGCCAAGTTGACACATAACCTTAACCACTACAGCCAGTGTTACTCTCACCTTGCACCTCAGCATTTGTTACTGCTAGACTCACATAATTAATACACAAAATAGTAGATTTTTTACTATTGTCATAAATGTGAAATGCTGAATAATGAGATAGTCAATAAGTGAGGAGTAGGTGTAATGTGGTTGTTGTCAGGTGCCATGGAGTCGATTTTCAACTCATGGTGACCCCATGTGACAGAGTAGAACTGCCCTATAGGGTTTTCTAGGCTGTAATCTTTACAGGAGAAGATTGCCAGGTCTTTTCTACCACAGAGCCACTGGGTGGATTCAAACTGCCAACCTTTTGGTTAACAGCCTAGGACCTAACCATTGTGCCACCAGGGCTCCTTGGTATAAAATTATAACGACTATTTTTCCACAATTTGGATAATATCTGGAAACCCTGGTGGTGTAGTGGTTAAGTGCTACAGCTGCTAACCAAAAGGTCAGCAGTTCAAATCCACCAGGTGCTTCTTGGAAACTCTGTGGGGTAGTTCTACTCTGTCCTGTAGGGTCGCTATGAATCGGAACCAACTCGACGGCATCAGGTTTGGGTTTTTTTTGGGGGGGTACTGTTTTCTAACTTTTTTGTACTTAATGTAGCAAGAAAATTTGCATTGTCATAAATATCATTCTACAGCATCATTTTAAATGGTCTCAAGATATTCCATTATGTAAACCAAAAAACAAACCCATTGTCATTGAGTCGATTTCCACTCATAGTGATCTTATAACAGAGCAGAACTGCCCTCATGGGATTTCCAAGGAGCAGCTGGTGGATTCAAACTGCCAACCTTTCGGTTAGCAGCTGAGCTCTTAACCACTGTGCCGTGAGGACTCTGCCATTCCATTATATGGATACCCCTTAATTTATTTAACCAACCCCAAATTGTTTGACACTTGAGTTGTTCCCATAGTTTAGCTATTGTAAACAACACTACACTGAATAGCCTCCCCACTGACTTCTGTTGTAGAAGTGGCACTGTATTTAGTGGGGAGAAAGTTGTTCCTGACTCTGTAATAATCCCATGCTTGTTACTGGTTTGGGCTCCTTTGGGCCAGGTTCTAAGATAAGATTGGACTTTATCACAATAATTTTTTCCAGTAGTAGTTGGTTTGGTTGGTGCTAATAAATAATGAGTCCTGGTGGCACAAATAGATAAACACTCAGATGCTAACCAAAAGATTAGCTATTCGAACCCACCCACCCAGTGGCTCCATGGGAAAAAGAACTGGTGATCTGCTTCCGTAAAGATTATAGCCAAGAAAATCCTATGGGGTCACCATGAGTAAAAATTGACTTGCCGGCACCTAACAACAACAACAATAGTAATTAAGTAACCCTTTTTACTCACTTGTGGTAAAAAAAAAAAAAAAAAGAAAGAAAGAAACATATAAAATGAGTAATGCTTCTGGTCAGCATCTTATTTAAACCTCAGAGTACTGATTTTAAGAGCCATCCAGAAAATAGATGGCTGACGTTAGCAGTCATTTATTTCATCCTGCTGCATTTTAAAAATAGACACTTAGGGAATGATTAGCAAATTTCAATAAATTAATATCAAGCATATAGCAGAGCCATTCAAACTGTGCTGAGACAGTTCTATGACATGAAAGTGTAAAATTCAGAGCACGGGGTCAGATGTACAGACATATCATGCTTGTCCAGGCTTTGACTTTTCAAGGGAAGAGTTTTGAGTTTCTCTTTCTTTCCATCTCATTGACATTTAGAATTAGCCAAATGTGTAAAAGTAACCTTCAGTGTGTGAATAAACTATTCCTAAATTTGCTTTCACTTTGGAATGACTAGCTTACAAATGAAACAAAGAAGAAAGGAAGGAGAAGAAGAGAGTGAGAATGTTTCTTCCCCCATGAGGCAACCATAAAAATGTAGGCAACAAGACAAGAGGGCTAAAGACGATGCGTGTGTACGCATGAGAGAAGTTGGGAGGGGTTAAAGAAGCTATGTGTATTCGTATGAGATGGTCAAACCGAGCTATGAGTAGTATAAGACAGAAGGCAACGAGAGGTCATGACACATATATGACCCTCACCCCCAAGAATGTGAAAAAGAATGTTGGTAGGACAAAGTTGTTTGGTCAAAAAGTCATCTGTGTCAGTGAGCTTGGTCAAAGCGAGGAGACTTGATATCACTTGGGGGAGAGAGATGTACCATGTAACCATCCTATGTAGACATGAGATGTTTTTAAATTTGGATTCTGTCATTTCAGTAGCATTCACACTTGCTTTGTGAAAGCTTCTGGCATTGGTTATGTGGCAGGCAGAATAACGTACACCCTCCGCCAAAGATATCCACATCCAAATCCCCAGGACCTGTGAATATGTTATCTTACATGGCAAAAGGGACTTTGCAAATGTAATTAAGGGTAGTGGATCTTGAGTGGAAATCCTGGTAGTGTAGTGGTTAAGAGCTACAGCTGCTAACCAAATGGTTGGCAGTTCAGTTCCACCAGCCGCTCCTTGGAAACCCTATGGGGCAGTTCTATTCTGTCCTACAGGGCCGCTATGAGTCAAAATTGACTCGACAGCAATGAGTTAGGGTGTTTGTTGGATCTTGAGTTGATAAGATTTTTCTGGGTTATCTGAATGGGCCAAATTTAATCACAAGAGTGGGTTAGAGAGAGGAGACAGAAGAAGGAGGAGAGAGCTGAGCTTGAGAGACTTGACCCACCATTCTGGCTTTGAAGATGGAGAAAGGGGATCATGAGCCAAGGAATGAGGGTAACTTCTAGAAGCTGGAATGACTCTCAGGCAGCAGCCAGCAAGAAAACAGGAATCTCAGTTTTACAATTGCAAGAAACTGAATTCTGCCAACATACAAACATGGAAGTAGTCATGATCCATCCACAGAGACACACACTTACTAATAGCCAGTAGGAATTTCCCCAAAATTGGAGCTTCCTCCTAATCCAATATTAATCCTTGCCCAGACAAGGCAGCCTTCAAACTAACTAACTTGGGGTTAAAAGTCCTTTCCAGGGTCTACTCTCTCAACCATACACATTTATCCTGTTTAGGTTGTCAGCAGAAATAAAAGGGAAATGCCATGGTTACTCTCTTCTCTTTCTTTGTTTTGCCAAATAGGGCAGATAAAACATGAGAATTTGGAGCCATAAACTACTGTCTTTTGCAATCAGAAGTTATTCTATTGGTTTACTCACTGGGGAGAAAGACTAAAATAGCTCCCTCTTCTGAACTTTTACTTCCTTATTTGGGTCTTGTGTGATTGAAATCTGTATATAAAAGTGCCCTAGCAAACAACAATTTTAAAAACTCACCTCCCTCGAACAAATCCAGAGCAGTCTCAGCTCTTCTCAGGAATGATTTCTAAATGAGCAAGTGTCTTTTTCAAAATAAATCATTCTTAACCAACATTTAATCAGAAATCTACACAGGGTTTAAAAACTGAAAGTTGATAATATCATCCAACTGACCTTCAAAATGCTAAATTTGGAGTCCAAAAGTTTAGAATTTGTTTTTTTATTGCCTGCTTTCATTTTTAAATACAAACTTTTTTTTTTTTTAAAAAAACTGGTGATTGATCATTTTTTTTTATGATATGAAAGAATAGTTAGTCTGTGTTGGTCCAGAGACATCTGAAATAATGTATTCAGCTATAAAACCAAACCTGTTGCCATCAGGTCAATTCTGACTCGTGGCAACCCCATGTGTTATAGAGTAGAACTGCTCCATAAGGTTTTCTTGGCTGTAATCCTAATGGAAACAGATCACCAGGCCTTTCTTCCATAGTACTGCTGAGTGGGCTTGAACTGCCAACCTGTAGGTTAGTAGTTGGGTGCAAAACTGCTTGCGCCACCTCAGGACCTGTATTCAGCTATAAGCACCATAATTTTTAAAAGGAACCTTGACAAAAATAAATATAAAGTGTCTGAAGGCTAGGTCAAATTAGAAATAGCTTAAGTAACTGAGGTTGGTTAGCCTGAAAAGAAGCCTTGGGGAGGACAAAAGGGCCTTCTTCAAATATCTGAAGAGCTGCCGTAGGATACGAAGGTCGTACTTAACCAGTGTGACTGCAAAGGGCTTATCAATTAATGATGGTTGTAAAAGATACTAAGAAAATAAGAAGGAATTTTCTAACAATTAAGTCTCTTTTAACATTACGTGGA